TGAACTTTAGATCCCTGTAACTTACTCATTTCTGGATGAAATCTCATGAAATCTGAAGCAAAGTTGTTTATCTCATGGGTATGTACAACCTGATATCAAGAATCACATCAAATTGTTGCTAATTCGCAAAGAAAATTGAATCAACTTCCACTAATTTTCACATTTTCACACAAAACTCAGAATCAGATGCAAGCTCATAATCAATAAATTATATACATCAAACCTATTGTTTGGCCAACTAACAACATAGAGAACACGAATTCAACAATTAAAATCAATTATGAACATTGATTCAAGCTCATTAACATATCTATGGATTTTTTTGGAGAATTACCTAGTGGAGTAGCTCCACGGGCTTCTTCAAATCGAGCTTGAAAATTATAGAAACCCATAAAATCACTTGATCAAGCTTCAATGAGAAGAATTAGCAACGAACGATAGATCTCTTGAAGAAACCTTTTGAATTCGAGAGAAGCTTCTTGAGAGGATTTGAAAAATCTTTGAGACAACAGAAAGTGAGGTTCAACTTGATTTCATTGTGAATTGATTGTGTGATGAATGAAGAGAGGAAAGCTCTTTTTTATAACTATTAGAGGTGAGTGAGAGTGACTCAACCGTGGTTACTTGGAAGTTTGTTGAGCAAGCTGAGTGAAAAAGAGAACTACATGGGCATGCGTTTTATGTTGTGTTGCTGTGATGTTAGGGTCGTTTTAATGAGAAAAAGGAGAGTGGAAATTGAGTGAGTTAAGCATGTAAGGTTAGTTGGAAATCCTTCACATGGGAGAGAGAAAGAATTGGATGGAATTTTCCCTCTTTTAGCAAGGCACGAGCTCAGCATACACGCGTGAGTTTTTTTTTACTTTGTTTGGCTTATTTGAGAAATAGTGAGACAAGTATAAAGAATAAAGCATATGGTTTGTGAGATGTTGTAGCTGAAACTTATTTTATGCACAAGAACTTAAATTCTGACTTGACTGGCTGCAAGCTTCATGCCTAATGAAAATGCTTCAGCCTTACGCTTATATCCCAATCATCTCTCCATCATTTTTAATGATCTTTAGCTTTTTGGAAAGCCCTTCTCATGATCCATATTGTTGATGAGGAAAACAATTTGAATGAAAGCTTGTATCCTCCATAAAAGTGAGCCCGAGTCTTGGTAATTTTGAATGTGTCAAAGTTCTGATCAGATGTGATGAATATGATGCAAGAAAATCGTGCCAGCCTTAAGCTTATAACTCTCCCAGTTCTCCCTCATTTGCATAATTATTGTAATCAATGGAAAGCCCTTTTCATTCTCTTCAATATTGGTGAAGAAAGCAAAATGAATTGAAGCTTACAGCTTGAAGAAATCTTGGAACGAAAATCTAGAAATTTGGAGATCCATAACTTAGTGAAAAATTCACTAAGCGTCAAGAATTTTATGATATGAAATGCTCAACTTTGAAAAATCATATCTTCTTCAATTTTGATCTAATGATGATGAATTGGCTATGGTTGGAAAGATCTTTGAACAAAGAACAACATTGATGTTTAAATGAATTTGAATTAGAGCTTCAATATAGGTGAAAAATGGACTTGAATATGGCTGATCAATCAAGTATAACTTGCCATATTTAGAAACCTTCAACTAACCCTAATTCCCAAATTAGGTAACCTTGTGCAAATCTTGATTTTTGATGAATCAATGATAACTTCTTGATAAAATCTTTCACATTGACCACATTTGACTTGATAATCATGATTTTGACCTTGAAATGTCAAGAGTTGACTTTGTTGACTGCATGGTTGACTTTCCCCCAATTTGAGTGATTTGAATTCATTTATGCAATTGATCCTCTTATGATCAAAATTGATGATCATTCTTTTAATCATAGATTCTTAGGGACATGTTGAGAAGCATGGAATTAAGTATTTCTCAAAAGATCAGAGAAATCCTGACTTTATCACAAACCCTAATTTTGACGGCTTGTGTTAGGAGGTGATGATCCAATCTCAAAATCCTAATTCCTTGGAACATGATGAAGAACTTTTTGAACAAATATGTCTGTTTTGATAATGAGAAGATATTGATTCAACAAATTGGACCATACAAGCATTAAAACACTCCATCTGTCCAAAACCCTAATCTCAAGAGATGAAATATGAAAAATGTGATTTACTTCAAAACTCTTGCAATTTTCAATCTTCTGATGAATCAATGAGACGATTTAGATGTCTTGGGGTATGAGAAATCCTTGTATCTTGAGTGATCCAAATAGGGAGGGCATGAGACCCTTTTTCACATTGGTTGTCAATACAAGTCAACTTCCATAACTTGTAGAATGACATGAGAACCAAAGATACATTGATCATATCAAAATGCATGAATGTTTATGATGAAACATAAGACATATAAGGTAAAAAGAAGAGGGAAAATTTTGTGGTGCAACAAACATAACTAAGGTACTCATTGCAATTTATACTATACTACTTTAAATTGCTCATAATTTCATCTCTCACTCATCTAAAACCTTCTTGCATCATCATGCATGATCATACATGAAACCGCACTATTAAAAAGTTATATTTTAAGGGCTGAAAGAAATGTGGTGTTCGAATACCAAGTATAAAAGTAGAAATATTGAGTTTTGAAAAATGTGATAATCAGCCAACATAAGGTGGTATTCGAATGCCGATGTTAAAATCCAGAATGTGTGTACCTCATTGCAATGCTTCATGATTGAGTTTTGAAACAAATTTGTTCCTAATCTTTGTGACAAGTGTTTGCATACAATGGTGTGTGATAACATTGTGATATTTTATCTCTGTGTTGATGATATGTTGATCATTAGCAACAAGATGAATGAAGTTTTACAAATAAAGAGGTTTCTAACTTCCACATTCAAGATAAAAGATCTTGGACTAATTGTCACTATTTTGGAATCAAAATATTACAAAATAGTGTGGGTTATGAATTTAGTCAAATCCACTATTGAGAAAACCTCCATATTCAAGATGAAAGACCTTGGACTAGTTAACACTCTTTTAAGGATCAAAGTAATATAGAATATTGCGGGTTATAAACTTAGTCAAGCATACTTTGTAGAGAAAGTATTTGATAAGTTTAAACAATAATGTTTCAAGAAAGCAAATGTTCAATTTGATCTTAATGTAAAACATCAAAATAATGATGGGAGAGTTATGGATAAATTAAAATATGCAAGTGCAGTTGATTGTCTAATGTAATGTACTAGACTTGACATAGTATTTACAGTTAGTAAAATGAGTAGATTTATTAGAAGTTTAAATAGTGAGCATTGGAAGGTCATCATGAGAATTTTGGTTATCTTTTGAAAACAAAAAATATTGGCCTTCATTATGGTAGGTTTCCTTCCATACTAAAAGGGTAAACCGATGCGAGATGGATATCAAGTGTTGTAGATCATAAATCTATAAATGGGTGGATATTTACACTAGCTAAGGTGCAATTTCTTTCAAGAGCAAGAAACAAACATGCATCACTTTTTCAACCATGAAATTAAAGTTTGTGCCTCATGCTTCCGATGGTCAAGAAGTTAAATGGCTAAGGGACCTTCTATTGGAAGTTCAATTGGTAAAAGACAATGTTTCAGAGGTGTTGATACAATGTGATAGTCAAACCAATTTAGCTAGAGAATTCAGTTGAGTGTATAATTGAAAGTATAATAGGTACATAGGACTTAGACATTATTTTGTGAGAAATTGATTAAAGATGTAATCATTTCACTCACATATAAAAGATTGATCGATAATTTGGCTGATCCATTTAGTAAGTCACTGGTTAAAGACTTAGTAAAGAAAACCTCGAGAGGTACGAGATTGAAACTCCTTGAATAAGAGTTCCAACAGCGACCACAACCCAATCTTACGTTAACAAAACATTAACCTTAAGATTCAATGAGTAACAACAAGTAGTTCATTTGGATGTTTGTCGGACATTTGATAATAATGTTGACAATTTTAAATTGAGGGTTAGGTTTTTTCAAACCCTTAACAAAGTTCAATACCAAAGATAAGGATCTCATGGAAAAGGATACAATATGAACTTCACCTATATGAATTTCGAGATGGTTCCATCTCAAAGTGAAAGTTGGAGTTTCTTTCACGAAAAATTCATGAAACAAGAAAGCATATGATCATAAATAAGTATTAGACAAGAAATGTAGATGAAGAACCCTTAAAGAATATGTGTAAGGTAATGTTGGTGTAATCACATGGATTAATGGTTTAAAAGCATTGCTACCTAACATTCTGATTAGACTTTGCGTTGTCCTTACTAAGATTAAGTTTAAAATCGAAAGATACTTAACTGTATTAATATTTTGCTGTTTTCTATATTCTTGAATTAGACTTGTCATTATTAGAACAAGTAGGAGATTGTTGTAAATTATTAACAATAACTAATAATCATGGGTATTTTCAAAATGACAAGAAAAATATGTTAATGATATTGTTTTTAATTCAGAAAAAGGCAACACTTCGTGAAGTGTTACTGTAGGCGAAACAATACATTAGTTGATAAAAAGCTATTGTTGTAGATGAAACAGTTGAACAATTGGTAGAAATATTGATGTAGGCGAAACAATGTAACATTTGGTTAAAGTGTAATTGAAAGTGTGTGTTTCATCAAGGATCACAATCTTATGAAACAACATCAGTTTGCCCTATAAGTTGAGCATTCCGGATTCAGAAAAACATATTAGAAAAGTCTATTCTCTTTACCTAAATTTCAAACTCTTTGCTACATTTAAGTTTTCATTGGTATTGCACAAATTTGATAAAAGAATTAATTATCCTGGATATTCTTGCGTTCCAACTCTAAGACATATTTAAGAGTACTTGAAATACTTATAAGAAAAGTAATTCCGTTTACGATTCTAGCCTCGAATCATTTGATTTAAATTGATTTTTATAACATTTGTCAGCTTTGTAGGAGCATGTTGGAGCAACTTTTGTAATTTTGGGGTAAGGATTAAGTAACTTTACGAACTCAACCCGTAGTTTTGGGGGTATAAATCAACTTCAGAGTGTTCTACCGGATTAATTTGGTGGCTCACCAAAAGAAAAATTGGCTTCTCATTCTCACAGGCATGTTTCTGTTCCACTAATGACATATACAAGTTAGTACAATTGTACAAGATAATTACATAAATATTAGATTGTGGATTCATATTTTTAGGCATTCGTTTTTGCACTTCCGCTTGTGATGAAACATGGAACATGTAGATTCATACCTTCACACTTCTATGCATGTTATACCTATCAGACAAATATGCAATGAACAAATGCAATTACCACAAGTGACATGATATGATATTTTGTAAGAATCAGTTACACAGTGAGTTGTCGTTTCACTAGATATGATAACATTCAAATTTATTTCAGTCTCTTAATGCTGCTCCATATATTATTACACAGAATATTAGAATCAGAAACTCACATTGTGATAATCAAGTTAGTCACTTATCATTGTATTTTCTCACTTTCCAGGAGCAAAGTTTGTGGCATAGGCCCAAGCGTTGTTGTTAACTGGGTCTGCAAGGTGGTCAGCAAGATTCTCTATAGGTCCTTTTCCTGTTACAATAGCTTGAACAAAGAATCCAAACATTGAGAACATGGCCAACCTACCATTCTTCAGTTCTTTCACCTTCAACTCTGCAAATGCTTCTGGATCTTCTGCAAGGCCTAATGGATCAAAGCTACCACCTGGATACAATGGATCAACCACCTCGCCAAGAGGTCCACCTGCAATGCGGTAACCTTCAACAGCTCCCATTAAGATAACTTGTGTTGCCCATATTGCAAGAATGCTCTGTGCATGGACAAGGCTTGGGTTACCCAAGTAGTCAAGTCCACCCTCACTGAAGATTTGTGATCCTGCCTTGAACCACACAGCCTCGCCGAATTTGACTCCGTTGCGAGCCAAGAGCTCGGGGAAGACACATCCTAAGGCTCCTAACATAGCCCACCTGCTGTGGATGACCTCTAGTTCACGATTTTTGGAAAATGTCTCTGGATCAGCAGAAAGTCCAGCAGTGTCCCAACCGTAGTCTCCGGGAAACTCACCAGTGAGGTAGGATGGAGCTTCACCGGAGAATGGACCCAAGTATTTGACACGATCTGGTCCATACCATGGACTTCCAGAAGAAACTTTCTTAGTGGCTGTTTTCCTCATTGTGACTCTTCCCACACCAAGGTCTTGAGTGGACGGGGAAAGCTTGATTGCCTTTCCAACCAGTGATGAAGAAGAGAGTGACATTGTCGAAGCGGCCATTGTAGTATTGTAGTGCTTACTACTGAGTTAACAAATGAATAGGTTTATTGACAATGTTGAGGATGGTTACTGAATGTGATGAGTTATGAGTGTTATTTATATGTTATTTCAACTGTGAAAAATGAATGGTAGATATCTTATGAAATCTATGTCCATGTTTCTATTGGCTTGTAGCATTTCATTTTGTTTCTCCAACCACACATTCTTTAGAAACTATTTTCTTTCATCTTTTTCAAACATATCAAATATCCAGAATATGTGATAGTAATATCATAAAATACTTGTTCCATCCAATAAGAGTTTCCCAATTATGATTTCTTGATAGGAAAATCAAGAATGTTTAAATTCACTTGTGTTGCAGAAGAGGGACCACAGTGCATATTGGTCCCATTCGTAGTTAATTTGTGGTGTGTGTTGCATCAAAGGAAAAACCATTTTATTTTATTTTTGGTCAATGGATAATACATCTTTATCCTAGTTTTAAATCATTTTACCATATTCTACCGATTATTTTTGGAAGCAATTCAAAACAGGCAAACAAGGATAAAACCATCCAAGCCTCACTTTATATTTTATGGTGTGCAATAGTTGCTGATAGCTATAGTACTTATTATGTAAAAAAATATCTATTGAGATTTTACTACATGCACTACTAAAAATATGACATTTGAGAAAAAGTCTTTACATTAGATACAAAAATAAATTATGTAAAAATTATTTGTCAAAAAATTTTACATCGGACTTTTATTTCTCCTGATATGAAAAACATTTGATTTAGAGGAAAATATAACAAGATGGCAGTTTGGTAAATAAAATGAAAATTTTTATAAGGAATTTAACATCGAGCCTTTACTTACACCCGATATAAAAAGTCCAATGATAAAAAAATAAAAATACAGTGACAGTTTTGTAAATAAGGTGTGTTTTTGTTATAAAAAAAATGACCCTTACATCGGTTTAAGGCCCGACCAATGTAAAAGTCCACTTTTAGTTCACAAAGTGGCAATTTTGTAAATAAGGTGCATTTTTGTTATAAAAAAAGTGGCATTTACATCAATTTAAGGCCCAACTGATGTAAAAATACCCTTTTAGTTCACAAAGTGGCAGTCTTGTAAATAAGGTGCGTGTTTGTTATAAAAAAAGTGGCTCTTACATCGGTTTAAGGCCCAACCGATGTAAAAGATTGACCGTTACATCGGGCCCTTTGTCCAACCGATGTAAAAATCTCCTTTTAGTTCACAAAACTCTAATATACTAATCTGATCTTCATAATGTCGTGTGCCTCATCTCTCTCGAGCAGCTGCTGCAACGTTCTCATACAAAACCATCTCCCTCTGTCTCCATCCGCCTCCGCCGTCATCTCCTGTAACGTTCGGCCACCATACGACCACCGTCTCCCTCCATCTGCCTCCGTCCTTCTTTCCCGGCCTCCGACTCATACGAAAACCGTGTCTCTTCGTCTCCCTCTGCCTCCGACGTCGTCTTCTGCACTGTTCGGCCACCATACGACTGCAATCTCCCTTCGTCCTCCTTTTCTGGCCTCCGTCTCATACGACAACAGTGTCTCTTTGTCTCCCTCCGTCTCGGAAGTTATCTCTCTCCGTTTCCGATAGGTTAGATTTATCATTATTGTTACTGTTATCCAGATTTATATTATATTTTATCTAAAGGAATGGATTTAATATGTACATGTATTTCGATTATTTTAGAACATGTTTTAACGATGGTTTGGTGGTTAGTTTTATTTAATCTTGCATGCTAACCACCAACCAATTTTCAATCCCCCGACATCACATTATGTTACAATTTTTATGTTTAAAAGAATCCCTTATGGATTCTTGTAGTAATGCTAGTCTCCCGCCGGACTTCCTATAAATGAATATTTCTACCCAAACTAGAAACATTCAAGGAAAGTTAAGTAGGACTTATCCTAATTCTATATTATTTGTGACGGAGTTTCCTATATTAAGTCATTGTGGAGTGATCTAACAAGTAAAGAATGTTAAAAAACATTAATTATTAAAAAAGTATATTAGAAATAAAAATTTCTAATGATTTAACTATGTATTCATTAATTTCGGAACATAGGTATGGATCGTAGTTTGATGAGAGCTAATCGATTAAGTGCTGAGTACGAACATGGAGTGAAGGAATTTCTACAGTTTGCTGAAAATAATGCTGAAAAAAGTATTCATGCGCTTTTTCTCTATCCATGTGTTTGTTGTGCAAATAAAGAACCAAAACTTAGTAAGAAAGAAATCATGGATCATCTAACCTGTGTAGGGATCTATCAAAATTATACACAATAGATATGGCACGGTGAAGTAGTAGAAAATTCAAACGTGTCCCAAATAGATGATGTTAGTGTCGAAATGGATGATCGTTTGGAAGACATAATGCATGATATTGGACAAGATTCATTTAAGAGGGAACATGTGTAACACCCCTTCTAATTACCCCAAATAATAGGCAAGAATTAAAATCAGAGAAAATAAATTTGCACGGAAGGGATGTCACAACACACTTCACATTCCAAAATTTTAAAGAAAAACGGACAGGGTACGTTTGTAAATTTAAGCATATCAACACAAAACAAACATACATAAATATTTAACTTCTTTCTCTCGTGCAAACGCAACGGAGTTTCAATATTTAACTTCATCTCCATTCATGGAGGAATCAAAACATAATTCAAGGCATCAAGCCATGATAATTCACATAAAGCATATGTTATCAAGTCTCACATACACAAAATAATATACACAAAGTAAGGATTATATACATCATAATCCCAATACAAAATAGACGAGTTCGACACTAAATATACCCCCCCCCCCCCCCCAGGTGTTACTACCAGAGCATCGACTCGACTCTAATCAAAATAAAACAGATTGCAATCCAATGCATCCGCTAACTAGCGCCTCACGCTACCATCCTCGGTACCTGAACAATGCCATCAAAAGCATTTTCAAACAGAAGGGTAAGAATTCCAATAATCATATAACATGTAATTAAGGTAAAGAAATGGCAATAAATAAAGCAACACATCATGATCATATTCATTTTATCACATATAGTATCCTTACTCAAGGAATCCATTTCCAACGCATTACCCATGTAAACCGATTATCCGAATACTCACATCCTTGGCACATAACCATAATTCAAACAACAACAACATTGGCACATAATCAAACACATCAACACACATACATAACATGCACAATTATGCATGTGACTCATAACACGACTCAACGTATGCGAATGCGGTACCGACTCGTGGACCCAAGGTTCCACCACCTATGTTTCCCTTCTGGATCAAGGTCACTACGTCTTTTCCCATAATAGGGTCACCGTCTAGATATTGTGGACCCAATGTTCCACCACCTATGTTTCCCTTCCGGATCAAGGTCACTACGTCTATTCCCACACTAGGGTCACCGTCTATAAAATCATGTGAACCCACAGTTTCACCGTCTCTGTTTCAAGACCAACCATGCCATGCAATGTACAATATAACCAATGTATGCAATTAAGATTCACAATAATCTTAACATACACATACCGTCAAATCCAACCAATGGAACATCAACTATTGTACATGCATGCATACATATAATTTAACAATCACAACATCAAGTAAAATGTATACAAACAAGTTACTTACTCAACCAAAACATAAACCATCAACTATCAAACAATTCCAAATCGGAAAGTATATTTCAACATAAAGTCATCATCAATGAACCGGCATTACTCTCAATGTTACTCATCGCGATCGAGTCACCAGAATGTAACTCGAACGGTTAAATTCGGGATTAAACTCAATTTATTTTATTTCGTACTAAAATCGGGTCGATTCTTAAAAAGTCGAAATTTCGCAAAACGAACCTCACTACGTTAATCTACACATCAAATTATGCTAGCACGTCAATTTTCGTGCGAATC